TGATCTGAACTTCGTGTCGCCTATAAAAGTAGTAATGCGTGAAATGCAATGAGCGATCCTGTGCACTTCGTGCCTTAGGCAATGAACCACACATATTGTATATGAGGACTGTCTCGATGCCAAAACTTCGGTAGGTTGAAATGAGTTCGAACCTCTTGTTCAGTAGATAGATATAGTTAATTGATCAGAGGGTGAATCAATGTGTAGTTGTTAAACTAAATACATGATTATTACACAAACATGTATCAAATATGGTTGTTGTAAAGGTCACAGTGTTCATACAAATCTAGCTGAAAACATGTATACTGCCTAGACTCGAGAAGCCTAGAAATCATTCAAGTTTCGAGAACTACTGTAGGAAATACTAGTTATTGTTTCTTTTTTTTTTACAAAAACAATACCTACTAGTACTTCGAATCCTTTGAACATTGAAACAACAACGAAAACATTATCATCTGGTCAACATTTTATCGAATTCTAACAGTCCATTTTATTCTACAATATATTCATACAACAGATATCCTCGTATAGAATAGTTTAGACCAGTTAGCAGAAACTATAAATTCACACATCCAAACCTGGGATATAAGTATCGTTATTGTTAATATAAACTAAGAAAAATGAAAGTCATTGTCTATTTTCAATAAACAATATCTCGCGGAAAATATAACCTTTCCATTTACCCCCCTTCGATGATGAGGATACAAACGAGTGAATGTACATTTATATCCATAGTATGTGTGTATATTTATATCTAATGATCCAAATAATCAACACAGGAAAACCTTAACAACATTCGAATCATAACAAACACACACACCAAAGAGACAGAGAGAGAGAAAGAGAAAAACATTCATACACTAGACAAAATCAATCGATAACTACAAACGAAATTGTGGGACTGAAAATAGTATAGACAGACGACCGACCAGACAAATACATGAAGGGTAAGCAACATTACGGGTATGTGTATAGAACCACTGAATGTGTATGTACAGACATGTGCAGACACACACACACACAAGTTATGGTGAGAAATTAGAAAGTGACCAATAAAGAATTCCAATGCGTGTACAAAATCATATTTGGTGGAAGGTAAAAATTCAAACAAATTCAGTAGACACAATGTGTTCAATAGAATAATTTGTCATTTTTGCTGACTTTTTTTTTTCTCCCTGCTGCTCATAATATATCTGCCTTCAAGTTATTATTCATATCGTGGATGGAACTAGGAAAATGATATGATGGCCTTAGACTGATTATATTGCTACACTGTATACTGAAACTAATATCGGCATAATCACCAAAACAGTAATAACACTCGAACTGTTAGTGAAAACAAAACACTGGTGACAGATTCAACTTTGTCCCTATGGAAAGCATCTACGAAGAGATATAAAGCACAAAATCTCATCTGCTCAAATTAGTGAATAGGTAGTTTTTGACATTAATGATCTGAGATGCAGACCATATGAAGAAGCTTGCCATCTTAAAAGTGTGGAAGGAGTCAACAACACAGTTACAACTTAGCTACTATTATTACTTTCTGTTACCAGCGGATGTGAGATGCATCACCAAGTCAAAATCATACTTCATTTCATATACCCATTATAAGCTAACTTGTTGTCAATTTCACTATAGTGGTATTTTCAGTGTGTGGGGTCAGTAAAACCACTGGACAACAAACGTAGATGAATCATTGTAGTTGAAAGAGTGTTACCTCTGAGCTACGAAATACCTTAAAAATGAGAACTTGAGATAACTCATAAAAACTATTCTACACGCATTTCCTTTACTCCAAATTAGCACTGGAGTAGTCGTAACTAATCACTGAAACGTATAACATTTAGAAATGTGTTCTTGTTGCATCGACATACAATCACAAATGAATTATTCCACCCTATACCTACATGACTTCTTAAATAGTGTACCAAATGAAATCGATGGTGTTACTTTAAATTCATGAGGAAATCCTATCTGGTACACGTTCAACGTGCTATCAGCTAACTTCTAGTCCATTATTTTGGATTTTGATATAAACCATTTATCATGAACGTGTAATAGTGGGCAAAAGATAAAGTTTCAAATATTTGAGTGCGTAATATAAAATATTTCATTCTTATCTTTAGTGATACTGATTGTATTTCTCCTACACAGAACATAATGTAAAATTATGCTTGAAATGATTAGTTGGTTGGAGGCAATCGGCAGGAAGCCCTGGACCTAGGTTCCGGGCTTTCTGGTACTCGTCAGTAAGGCGTATCTGCAAATATGATCGATAGAATTCGGTCTGCACTCAGGAGTAGACAACATGAAATTGGTTGCACTCCCGTGACCAATCAATACATGCTTGAACTGACAAACTCAACATTCCACATGCCAATTCAGTGAGGTAACCTAAAAACTGAAGTCGACGACTAGAAACTAGGTGATATGGGTCGGAATCGACTAAGTGTAGTCAAGGCTAAATCATCATATCATCAAACTTCATTATCTGCTTTATGATTTTTCGCATCTATGGATTGTAGTATTTCTACTTGTGAGTCTGTCTTGTTGCTTTATATCTTCTGTGTTGTAACGTGTGGCAACGTGAACCGGTACATTGAGATGGCAGGTCCCGTATTGACACCTATTGACTAAGAAACTTCTTACATTGCGAAATTAACATAAGGGCTGATTTCAGTATAGGACTGAAATATGACACTGGAAGGAGGTCACACTACATAGTGAACCGATAGAAGTAAGAAATATAGACCGTTGCACTCAATAGTAGCCTGCTAGGCATGGAACCTGGAGGTGGGGGTGCAGTCATGGGTGCGTACTGCTGAGGAGTCCATGTACTTGGACGAAACAGCTGTCTAGTGCTGTCAGGTTGCCAATGTTTCTCCAACTGATGTCATTCCATGATGGGCTCCAACCTGAACCCAATTAAAAGACCTCTACAAACCTCCAGATTGAAATATGTGAAACAATTACAAAGAAAGCTGAGATGACTTTCGATCGATGAGTCACTGGACTGAGCCCCGCTTCACCTACCAAGGTTTGGACAGTCAGATAGTGTCATTACCCTGAAAACATCAGGTGTGGTTTATTGCCTACTGCATGAATGTGCACAAGGTTGCTACGTGCATAAGTAACGACAGTTAGTCATTTCCAGTTTCAAGCGCTGAAACGAATCGAAATACTCTAAGCAACCACGTGTACATTCATACAGTAAGTAATGAGTTACATCTAATGAATTGATGGGCAAAGGATAAGACCTTTCTCAATAAGTCAAACGCAGTTCGAACGCATGACTACTGATTGAAAACCCCATTCTGGCCTAGATAAACAGAATACACAGAAACAGAAACAAAGAATATTTAGAAGATAGTAAACGAATAAAAAGGAGATATGTACAAAGATTCCTGATAAACACACTTCCTAATTGATTGATTCAAGGTGGATATAATAATAATAACTCTGTCTGAATTGCCATTTGTCAAGATCACTTAGTTAGGCTCACAGAATAGTTTCAAACCATTGGTACGCATAAATTCCAGTGTTATTATTATATAAGAATTTGATTGATTAGCCAGAAAAATTTTGGAAAGTTAATTTTATTCAGTCAGTTCATTTCCAATCTGATTTCGCCAAATACCTAGAATTTAAAACATGGAAATCTATCTATAGGATTCAATGAAAATTAATTTTCAGCAATATATCTAATTATAAATGTTATTATACATTAAGAATATGTTTCCATGTTTAGCTAGGCTATCTAGAATTTAATAATAAAATACTACAATTGTACAAACTTTGTCAAAATATTAACAACCAGTTGAAATGATATAAATATGTTTCTCGCTGTATAGGGGATTTCATACAAACTTCATATTGAATGTAAAAATACTGGGAATATATTCCCAGATGGTTAATCAGATGACTTGATATTTCAAAACTTAATAAAAGAGAGCAGAAAATAGAAGAAGTATCATTGATGATATCCGAAATAGGATTTACGGAAATGGTAGAGAATAGTTTTGTTTTTTCTCTCTCTTTATACCTCAAATACATAGAGTCTTGGTTGTATTGTGTTCTCTCAGCTTCTCAGAGAATATAATACAACAAGGATTTACAGAGTTAAACTCTACCATTTTTAAGTACACAGAGAAATTCATTGATTAAAGAGAACTTTCACTCATGGTGAAAGTGTTACACAACAAGTCAACTAGCATTTCAAAGCATTATACTGACCATCTTTTATTCGATGCACCAGTAAATATCAATGTTGCTTGTACAATGAACATATATATATATACTGTATTCCTTTCTCTTTTTAAATGAAGAATTATACAGACAACGATGAGTGACTGATGGTCGATTTGGGCAACCATCTCCAAATACCTATCATCATTAACAATGCGCTGACAAAAGACACTTGTAAATCTGAAAATTGAATCAAATATTCATTTTAGTATTATTATAACATTACAAGAAACAATTCGAATATATATATATATATATTATATATATATATATATATATATATATATATATATATATATATATATATATATATATTCGTGGCTGCGTACGCAAGAAATATGTACAATTGAAAATGTGAAGGTATGAAATAGAATCATATAGAAAGAGGGAGACGGGGGGAGGGAGTAAAGGAGAATATTGTGTCAGAATTATTTGGCAATGATACAGATATTAAGTTGAACAAATTGGAGCGGGAGGGGATGGGCGCACAGTTCTGAGTACACATATATGTATATGTATATATATATAAATGCTTAGTGGATACCTTATCATTGAACAAAAATACAAGCGAAATCGAAAAAGAAACAAATTTTTAAAAAGATAGACCAACTGAATGCATAGTAACTATCTTTGTGCAATGTTTGCAGCTGGTTTCCTTTGGCAATCATTAATGTTAATGACAATAATCTGCATATATTGCAATACTGTATACATCCGCTATATTTCAAGTTTTGACAGAGATAGACACCGTTTCAAACTAAAAACAAGAAAGATGAGATTTGTGTTACTAAACACTGGATGCTCATTATGACATATGTTTTCGAAAGGACTATAACGGTGTAATTTAGCATTCAACTTTATCAAATTCTGAAAATCTATAGGACAAATCATGTAAAAACAAATGATATGAAGTTGCTTTGGATTGAATAATCGAATACTCTCCGTAAATCTTTCACACAGTAGTAGTCAGTAAGTGAATTTGCATTGGATGTTACGATTAAACCTTCTATTATAAGAGTTTTAAGACCTAGGGAAGAAATTGGTTTACTAAGCTATCGAGAATACTTACGTGGAGCTGTACACAGTGGTTTAAGCAGATGACTACCAACTATCGGGTAGTAGGTTCGAGCCTTGATTCACCTACCGAGGTTAGGGTAGTAGTCAGCTAGTGTCATTAGACCTCATACAATACATGTAGCTCATTGTCTACTACAAGGATGTGCACAATATAGCTGAGTGCGCGGTTGCGAGAAGCATTTAAAAGCACTGTCAGTAGCAATTTGTACAGCGAGCCTACTGCTGAATGGCTCGTGACAATTACTGACTTCAAACCCCTAGACGGTGAATTCACCATCCCACAAATGATGCACTGCTGGATATTAGAGTTAGTCAATCAGTCAACAACAACATGGAACTCAGTATTTACCGTGTTACGGTCTCGCTGCCACATCTCAACATCAAAATACAACGCAACAACAAGGAAAATAGATAAGAAGAGATGCTTTTATCGAAAACTGCAAAACAAGAAGAGGTAAGACAAGCGATGACATTCGAAATAACGATTAGGATGAAGATAAGATATGGGTGCATCTATGCCATTGCGACCAATTCTGAAGTCTACCACCTACAGTCTCATTAACCATCGGTTTTGGTTGCCACGAGGACCTCAACCTAGAAGCCTGTATCAGTCAAAGTCTCTGTCTCTTCATCTAAACAATATAAGGAGATGTAGGCTGCCTGCTTGGGGTCCCCGAAACGAAAAGAATCAGTGGTTAAGGGCTGCTGGTGATATAGCTGAGAATCGATCTCAATGGCCCAAAAGAATTCACTCCTTAACACCCTCTAAAGCTTGTATATTTGCACCAACCTTTATCCCCAGATTGTCTGTTCTCTCATACAACTTTATCTACCTTGATATCAGGTTTTTTTCTATCTACATGTTCTTTGTACACTACTGTAAAGTGTGGCAACTTGAGCCAGTACACCTGTGTGGGAGGTTCTACATCGATTTTGTCTGTCTATATCCTCTTACATGGTTCACACCATTTGTCATGTTTCATGAACGTTAGTCCACTCAAGCCTGAATTGTTTTTCCTTCAACATGACCCTATCTCAATCAATATGGTTCGGCAGGAGTACAAGGTGACTAGGCATGTATAACATGTGCCCTAGCCACTTCAATTTATTTACTTCTTTTGCCGAAGACTGTATGCTCAACGTCAATGTTCCTAAAATAAGTTATCCCACGACGGGTGGTAAGTGCTACGAAGGTAATGCTTAAAAAAATTCGGGATGCTCTCAGCGACCACGTGAAGATTCGTGAAGCAGGGGTTGAGTCACACTTATTGTGAGAACTTATGATACTAAACCTCGGTAGGATGGAGCGGAGTCCGAACATGCGACCTGCTGACTAATATTTTGTCCAAGATCCTTGAGTCTACAGTTATCTAACGCCTTACTGGAGCTCGAAAACAGTAAATTTGAGAAAATCAGGTAGGTTTCAGACATGGACGAGGATAAACTGACCAGATTTTCACCTTCAGATAGGTTCTGGACCGTGAAATGTTATGGCAGTGTCTGACTTGTGTGCGATGTTCTACGTTGACTTTGTTTGTCTGTCTATTTACATTAGGTAATCAAGCTAACAGAATTGCATACCTAGATCTCAAAACATATCTCATGAATTCACACTGAAGCTTTAAACCATTGACAACCAGTATAGGTTGTATGTCCTAAATATAAGATCTAAACTAAGCTCTTCAGATAACAATAAACCGAAGAGACGGATAAACGTTCCTATCGCTGACCTAAATCGTTTATTTCAAAAATGAGCGTCGATCATCAAATATTCTTCGTCGACGACTTAAATATATCAAAGCACCGTCTCATCAACATAAACGAATGGTGTATACAAGTTGATGACGCATACCTTTCAATCATAATCAGGGAGGATTATATTAAGGTTACCTATCATACTGAAACAAACCCAACTGCACCTAAATCGAAGCATTACTTATACGACTAGAAAATAGACACACGATTGCGTCGAAAATCTAACTACCAAGTGTTAGGAAATGAATACATCTATCGATATACTTGCAATTCTCCGTTGTTTCATCGGATCGAATTCTTCGACCTCTATTGGCATATGAGTTCCGCCTATGCGGATGCCTCGGGTATTATCTAATGTCAACTATGATAATTTAGAGGTCGAAAATTTGATCCATCCAAATCAACCAACATAGGACTAGGTATTACTGCATAACAGTCCAACTTGCCACACACCCCATATCACTACATCAAGTGAAAGACAGTGAAGTGAAAGATGAAGACAAGAGATGTAAAATATGAAGGGAGAGGAAGGAAGAATGAGAGAATGATGAGATTCGGTATAGCATCGTTAAGATGAGGATAATGTGTGTATACATCTCCATCATTGACATCGGTTGTGAGTCATGTCACCACCCACAGTCTCCAACTACTGGTTCCTCTTGTCCCGCCGATCCCAACCACCCAGTCTGCATCGCTCCACATGGTTCAAACCAACAGTCAACGACTTCACACATTGATGCCATGTCTCGGTCTGGCCTCCCCTTTTCCGCCTTTATCCAGTCTGAACCTACTTCGGTCAACATTGTGTGACGAGGTAATCGGTGACTAGACATACGTAACACGTGTCCCAACCATATCAGTCGATGAAGTGAGGTGAACGATAGCCACTTCTTGTAAAATGGGTAGTAGTTATTACTATTTATTGAGAATTACAAGTATATCAATAAATAGTAATAACTACTCCTCGTTTTACAAGAAGCTGCCATCATTCCTCTGTGGCGTAGTGGATAACACCTTAGCGTTTGAAGCCATGAGTACCGGGTTCGAGACTCGGTGGAGACATCACTCACTGTGGTGTAGGTAGATCCAGCTGACGAGTCCGAAATAGGACGAAGCGAGAAACCTGGATTCCTCTGCTAGCCACAACCAACTAAAGTACCAATGAATGCATAGGTAACTACTATAGTACAAAAGGAATTTCAACTAGAAGTTAACGTGAGCGGTAGGATGTAGTAACGATTGGGAAAACAAGAGCCCACCACCGAACGCCGTCTCATGAATCATTTGTCCCGTGACTGCCAGAGGTGATAGGCAATGGAATTAATGGAAACTGTGAACGTGGTAGGGTTTGGTTAGAATTGCTAGTCATATAGTCTCGTTCTCGAGACACAATCACTGAATATGAAAGAGAATGGTCCACACTCAGAAAAGATGGTCAAATTGATAAACCGAACTACAACTTTCTTATTGACTGGTTACAGTATAGTTAGTGGGATATTGACACCTTCCTTGTTTCTCTTCGAAAAATAAGTTTCAGTACTATTCTGTGAAACATACGATGTATCAAGAACAGCGGAGTGGATTTAAATCTAAGGCTTAACGACTGACATTTAAGTACAGCAACTTCACACACACACACACACACACACACACACACACACACACACACACACCAGAAATCCAAGTTTGAAAATGAGTTACGATGGTTAATGAATAAGATAAAGTCGTTCATTTATATATCGCCTAATAAGTGAACAGAAACTCAACATTTATTGTGAATTCACGTCTCGATACGCTGTGCAGACAAAGATTTTTGGCAGATATCATATTCACCTTGTCAGATAAAAAATTGGGTTTCATCTGAAAACCAATCCTAATTCCCAATCACTTAAATTCTTTCCTAATTTATTTAAGACAAGGTTTAAACACCTATGAAAGCTACAGATCAGCCGTATTCAACTGATACGACGGTTACATCGTTCCAAGATGTTCCCATTAACATTAGGATCTCAATATTATGCACAGGTGAAGATTTACATAGTTTATACTGGAAAACTATTCGATTGTCTTCATACTTGAAATGATCACAAAATGCAACCACTACCAGCATTTAGAAATAAAATGCATGAGGAAACTTACTTGACTCAGCTGTGGGACGTGAAGGTGCTGCATTACTATTAATCATTTTGAGATCTTCATTATCATTCATCACAGCCGAAGAAACATCACATCCCATACCACTCATTGTTGGAAGCATTGTGGCTGAAAGTGAAATATCAGTACAACTGATGTGAATGTGTATATGTTGACAGCATTACTCGAGAAATGTGAGATCGTGTAAATACCGGATATTTATCAGGGTTGTTTTTGTTCCTATTTATCGATGTTTACAGTTGTTGACATAAACACAACCCCCGATAAAAAGACCCGGTTTAGCATTTAGCAACCTAATATCACTTATGGTACTGATGGACCACGTGAATACAGATGGAACGACCGGAGTACTACGCAACCGTTTACTCTGACCTACACTATAACTTGGACATAGTCGTTGAAATTATGAGATATGAAGACATTACAAATTTCTTTGTAATTTATAAGCATGTGGTGGAACTACTGAGTGACCACTGTCAAGGTTAGGTGAAGAGTAGTAGACAAGAAAGTAAAGTCAGTCATCAGTCAACAGCAAAGTAGGATCTGACAAGTTGCTGCAACGGTATAAGTTACCACACCTCATATCAACACCAACGCAGAAGACACGAAGATGAAAAATATAGAAGAAAGTGGTCAAGAGTGGTAAGAAGTGATCAAAAGGGGGCAAGGAAGAATAAGAGAACAATGAAATTCAGAATCACGATTAAGATGAAGATATTATATGAATACATCTGTATTACCGATGCCAATTCTCAGCCACCTTCATCTACAGTTTCTGACCACCAACGCACGTTGTCACGACGACCTCGATCACAAAGTCAACATTTCCACATGCAGATCAGAATAACAATCAAAGACTTCATGTACTGATGCCATATTTCAGTCTAGCAACCACTAACCATCCCCAAACCAAACTTACTTCAGCCTACATTGTGCGACAAGGTAGACGGTGACTAGGTATGGGCAACACATGTACAGTCACCTCAGTCGATGAAGGTTCACAATCTCAACATTTGACTCTCCTCTCCTCCCTAAAAAACTTACACCAGACTTATGGATTACTGACGTGGTGACACCACAACACATGACATATATTACGACGAAAACGGTGGTTAAATGCCTAAGTCTTCTCATGTCCCATACTCTTAATGGCCACGTTTCACAGCCATACGGTAGAACAGGTCGAACTGCAAAGCAGTAAATTGACAGTTAGTAGAGAATCGAATATCATGGTGGCAATATAAATACCGTGAGTTGGCGAAAGCTAATCGAGCCTTTTGTATTTGTGCAGATTTTGTCGGCCACTGACCCACCGGGGCTGAGCCGACTTTTCAGGTAAGTGAAGTGGTGACCAATACGCTCAACCACTTCACTCTTTATTGTTAGACATTGTACCGGTGAAAACAAGCCCTTGAGCAAAAATTTACATTTGTGCGATAAGACACGCTTACCGAAACATTTTCAAACTGCCCTCAGAGTGTCCACAAGACTTTTCATTTTTTCAGCCTCTTTAACCAGCAGGACTTTATCATCCGGATACTCTAGGTCTATTCAGCATTCGACGGTGACATAGTCAATCCCTGTAAGCCCATATAAAGGGGGGAAGGAGATCTCCATATGCAAGTGTCTATGATATAGTTGGATGAGTATGGGGAGAAAGGACGCCCTAGAAGGATACTAATCAACGAGCACAACTAACCATAGGCTGTAACACGCTCGTCTGTGCTCAAATAGACAGCCTTCAACAGGATGATGTACTTACTTTCAGTGAAGGATATTGTCATAAAACCTCACGATCGACGCAGCCGAACGTCAGCTTCAGGTTAGGAAATACAACAAGTAGCGGGCGCCGATGTGTCTGGCACACTGCTTGGAAGAGAGTGAATATCTGGTCAAGGCAAATCCACTACCAGGTTTGACACGTCTGGTTTTCTCGGGTTTGCTGTTTCCAAGCTCCACTCAGACGTCTGTTAATTAGAGAACCTAGAGTCTTGTACACTATATTCGTCAGGTAGACTTCGTTTTGGCTACCATTAGAGGACTTGTCCCCCCCCCCGCTCAAAGACTGGAAAATTAGTGATTGAGAACAGTCAGAGGGGATCATATCTGATTCTCACACGCTAGCTAGACTTCAGACAATCTGATCAATAATCATCGACCACCTTCACTAAATGCCTCCGGCATCAGTCCATCTGGCCCTGCTGATTTTCTTTATTCCACGTTACTTACAGGTTTTCGAACTTCTGCATGAGTTGAAAGGTCTGCCACAGTGTTGCACTTGGGATCCGACGGGGACGCGGGAAGAGAAAATGGTAACTGGAAGGTAGACAAACTGTCCCCTCTATATTTCGAGTCATCTCCCCTGCAAGTGAATGACAGACCACTAGATTTTGGCCCAAGGTTCCTTAATAAGTCTTAAGAACTGCCTACTTTTATATATCACCCCGACCTTTTGCATCTCTTCAGCCTTCGTCACCCGCATCTGCTAGCGATCATTGCACGAATTTCTTGTCAATTTAGCTGAGTTGCGTCCCCGCTTCATTACGTTCGAGACAAGCAGAGAAGTGTTCACATATATTCATTGATTCAGAAGAAGCCGCTGAGACCCAGTGACTCTTTCTTACCTTATTTGTTCTTTTCAGACAAATGTCTAGCTAATTCGTCAATGAAAACAGACTTAGTATTCTCATTGTCAAGCTGTGTTTACAGTGGTCTTGTTGTTGTTAACCTTGTTCAAATTCGTGCAGTAGGAAAAGTCACGCCTATTGTGTGAAGGCTAATGATACTGACTTTTTGTCCAAAAACCGGTAGGTGGAGCGGTGCTTGAACCCGTGACTTAATGGGTAGAACTCGACCCCTAATTCAATGAGCAACAGTCCCGCTTTTGTTGTTGCGATTTTTCTTCACCCATTCGAAAGCAGGAATACGCATGCTGATACCGACGTGTGATCACTGTCACAAAATACATGTTTCAGAAGGAGTGACAATCTTCCACCAACCATTTCCAATAGTAACTTAAAGCAATATAATTTGTGCCTACTTTCCAGTTGAGTTTGGTGGACGCTATGTTAGATGGTGTCTCTCTTTATGTCTAAAACTCTTGTTGGCTAGAAGCGGGTGGAGTTGTTTGAACGCCACTGTAGTAGGTGATCCCACTATCCGTTCGTTCAGCTGGAATTTTGAAATTGCCATCTAGGTGCCTTCCTGTTTGACTTGAACTACCCGTATGTGCATTGAAATCACCTGCTATGACATCTAAACTTTTTGCTTACAGTAGAAGACCAGAGAATGTATCCTTTACTTCATCCGAGCTACAGTCAATGGGTGCGTAGGCAGAGATCACAAGTCAATGAGGAGTTTCATTGGTCTTTTTAGTTTTAACTGCACTCTTCAGTCAAACAATGAATAGGTGACTGTCAACTGGAGTCCAGCCGAGTAATGCACCTTCACCTAAAAGACCGTGAAAACTAGCCACTGAACCTCCAAAACCTCGAAGGCTAAATTTCGAGGATAACAATATCGCCTAGGTGAGGGGAAGTAAGTAATGGCAGGTTGGTCCTATATGAGTGTCTTACAAACACAGCATATGACCAGCATCCGAAATATCAGACATTTCACTAGTGAGGCCTGCTGGCCAATTTGCAGAGGGTGGAGACAGCGAAAGTCACAATGTGAAGTTTGGAGCGTGGATTCAGAAGGAGGCTGTTTCATGAACACAAATCACTATCAACAGCCGAAAACCTGAAACAAGTAAAAAATGACATAGGAACATTGACCAAGGCGTGAGGAAAGATTAGAAAGCAAAGAAATGGAAGGTTGATAATGACCTGAGGGAAATTTGGTGCTGACGGAGTTATGAGGGGGGTTGGCACTTTTCAGCAGCCTAGACAGTGGAAGGTTACTTATCCTTGAGGTACCTAAGAAAATTGGATTAGTAATAGCGGTGTGTTAACGCAGTTTACCGCATATCTAGTTAAGGCTGTTGACATATGACCTTTTTGGAATTTTGAGATCTAGCTTTGATTGATCTTTAATAAGCCAAAAAACTCATACCGTCGGCATGGGAAGACAGCAAGGTAGGAGGGAGTTTTCTATTTCCGGGACCGGCCTTTCTACCCCCCCCCCACCCACCCACCCTCGATTTCCACAAGGAAGGTAGCATCAGCAAGGACCGACAGTCACCCTCAGAAAACACTTTATTGCTGTCACACCCCGTCCAGCCAGTTAACAGTGTAACTCCGTTCTTAGACCCCCCCCACATCATAGTATAGGAATTAACACTGACGGTAACTACTTTTTGTCACACCATCATTCAACGGGCCATTTTAGCACGATAGGACCTCAAACGAACAAGTTTCCCCCAGGGTAGCTCCTCGGGTCACTGTGATATGCAAACCCAATCCACGTGACAAAGTAGCAGCAGCCGGTCCGCCAGTTAATGAAATTATGAACCTCTATCAACATAAGTGGTCTGGAAATGTGTTCAGCACGCCGAGGCACCACGTACTCCGATGAGTGATGATAGGCGAAGTAGGATTGGGTGCTAAGAGAGCTTAAGATGGAGACCGAAATAGGAAACCAGTGCAAGAATTATCTGACTGTTTGTCTGAGCTACGTAGGAAAGTGTAGAGTCCTCGGTTAATGGTGTTAGAGATCGATGGCTGGGGACTCTTGGGTGATGTTACTCAAAACCAGTCACATTGGTGCAGATATATACTGTGTCATCTTCGAAGTATTGAACCTTCATCTAAGTATCTTCTCTCCATTCGCATACTCTTGATCACCTTAATATCATTCTTTTCGTGTCCACTTGTATGAATGCTGCAGTGAGATGTAGCAACTTGAACCGATGAAGGATTTCCGCGTCACGTTCTATGTTGATTTTTCTGTGTTTATTTACTGGGACTTACCAATATGGAACAATACACACTGCAAGTTAGTAACTTCCATACAATGTATAATGCTAACAAGACCGCAGGAAAATACTACTTAGAGATACGGTATCAATATGAAGAAGCTATCTTTTTGGAGGATGAGTAGGGTACTTAGAGAAAAAACAATTTTGTTCGATCAATCAAGCGGCAGGAAACTTTGAAAGAACATTAAAACAATTACATTCGGGTGGTGGACAATGTCTGAAATTCATTCTACCTAATGTCCCAGTAAGGGTAACATCAAATAATCTGTATATTACGAGTAGTAGCTGTTGAATATGTCTAGCACGCAAACAATAAAAGAAACTATGCAATAATCAACCACAGGTTTATATCCATTTTTTAAAAATTATTCATAAACGAGATGAAATGAATGTTGATACACCATCTTTAGTGGACGAATGCAGCTCTTTAACACTGGATTGCTTCTCTGTTTTGCGTAGAGGCAAAACATAGCGATCAGATAGTGCTGTCGAACTTTCATCATCAAAATCAACATAGAAGCAAGCAATACTACGTAACTGTCAAAGTCGCCACACTTCATATCAGCACATCAAGTAACAAAAGCAATAAAATGGGAGATGAAGAAGAAAAAAAGGGTCAAAGGAAATAGAAGTAGAATAAAAGAGGGAAAGGAGGGATGAGAAAATGTGATTAAGCATGGGGGTTAAGGTGCGGATAATGTGTGTATGTATCTGCATCACTGGCAGTGGTTTTGAGCTGCCACCTAGTCTCCAACCACTGGTCCCTCTTTTCCCGCCGATCCCAACCACCCAGTCTGCATCGCCCCACATGGCTCAAACCAACAGTCAACGACTTCAGACATTGATGCCATGTTTTAGTCTGGCCTCCCCTTTTCCACTTTTTTCTAGCCTGAACCTACTTCGGTCAATATTGTGTGACGAGACAGACGGTGGTTGGGCATACGTAACACACGTGTCCCAACCACCTCAGTCGATGAAGGTTCACAAACGCATTGACTGTCCTACCTCTCCTTCCTAAAACTCTACGCCTGACTTCTGCGTTACCCACGGGGTGAAACCACGAAACACTACCTGTGCTACGAAGACAATAGTAGGCAAACACGTGAAGCCTTCTCATGTGTTACCTTTAATGGCGACGTTTCACAGCCATACAGTAGAACAGAGCGAACTGCAGCACAGTACACTCGGCCCAGGATTTTTTATTCAATGTTTAATGGCTGTTCATATCGACTTAAAATCAATTTGTTCCACATTAATCAACATTTAATCTATGCAAATCCACAGAATGAAACGAAGTCAAAAAGGAATATGAAATCATCAAAGCAAGTTGGGCATAACTTACGTTCTGGAGTCAACTGATTTCCACTACAGCTTGTTCCGATAGAATTGTAGAGCATAGGAGAATTATTCGATTTGATAGTTGTAGAGATTAAGGTTGAAGGTGCAGAATGAAGAACATTTTGATTATCTATCATATCCATTGTAAAGGATGATGAGGTCAATGGGGAGGTTAGAGGAGTGCCAGGAACAGAAATATGCCCCATTGGGGTATTGCCGCTGCCCATCATTTCATTTGGCATCATAAAGTTTGACTGCTGTGATGACACAACTGCAGTACCCATACCATTTGGAAGAGATGGCGGAGTGAAACGAGCAGGAGGTCTTGAAGGGAGGAGATTGGGAGAAGCACAATGAGGGAATCCACCAAGACCATTTGTACCGTCAACTAGAGATGAAGCACTACTTGAACGGGTTGGTTGGTGCATGGCATCAGTATTCGCTGATGAATTCATGTAGTGTTCAACTAAAAAGATAGAAAAGCTTTCATGGTAACTGTATTTCTTTGCTAAGATCAAGAAGTTTTGTGAGTTACGAATTCTGTGGGCAAATATCACAGTATTAAGTTGAGTGTCTGTAAATTATTCCCGAGTTTCAATATTATGTCCAGCTTGTCGTTAAAACTCAGTAGCCAAATTCCCAATTCAGAGAACAGCTTAGCATAAAAAAAAACAATTACAAGTACTACGGGAACATACCATCCTAATAATGCATAACTATTGAAGCAACTTGTGAACGAACATTAATAGTAATGACTGCACAGCGCTCACGAAATCTTCCTAGGAGAAACAAAATTCACTGAGTAATGAAACTTTCTACTAGATCATTCCATTTACTTTCTTTACACTACCGTAGTTTTTAACGATGGAGCAATACTTATTTTTGGCTATCACTTTCAAATTTATATTTTCTTCCGCCAGCTACTCATCATAGAAACTTCTGATCTATCTGCATCGCATTGAGTCGCTAAACAGTGGATTTCATAAGGCTGTCCTTCAGTGCGATATCTGACAAAACTGTTCTGAAACCCGACGCACCGTCTAAGCTCCCTCTCTTCAACCTCTGAACCTTGGTGCAGATAAGACAACAGACAGGTCTGGCTAGGACTTTTGAAAGACTCACTACTGATGTCTGCTGTTTCTTAGACACTCCCATATGAGATCCCATTGGAGTGCTCCAAATGACTTCCTGCCTTGTCAGCTCCAAAAGCATAGTAGCAGGCTTATCCGGGGATTGTGTGGTATCATCAGCCAGCTTTGACAGTAATCGGCATCGTACTAAGTACCAGAGGAGAAGTTGCACTAGTCAAGTGGATCTCCATCAACAGTTCTCTGTGTGCTGTTAGACCAGAAGATTCGATTACACTGAAAAGCAAATGGCAAGAAAAAGACGTCTCCTTGACATCTCTGCATATGTTCTGATTGACTGAAACCTAGATGCAGTTAAAGATGAATTCTGACACCAAGTGAATAAATTTCGCTACCAGGTGAACTCGTAGGATATCGTGATGTTAACTGGGGACTTGAATGAATAGACCAGGCATCTGGATCCAGAATGGTGTCGTTTAGGGGTATTTTTCGAAATTAGATCTGTCCTCCGTTCGTCGGATGGGACTGTAATCTAGGATTGTGTGTTAGAAGAGGGAGTTCCTGGAGAATTTACAAACATCTTGAAAGCCCTATTCTTCGAAAAATCAAAACTTCAAGTGGAGTGAGGACATTTAGTCACCTCTCTCCATTCTTTACAACTGGCAGTGAAGTTGAGCACAGCTGACCAATTTTGAAATTCCTCTCTATCTTGATCAACGGCACTCCAGAAACACTGAAGGAAGTGAGTAGTGGTGTAGTCCTGTTACTACGAGAAAGGACTTTCCAACCTCAATTACGCAGACGATATCCCTTTACTGTGCGACAACATGCAGGCTACTCAAATCACAAACAGTTTGCCATCGGTGTCCATAAATATAACATGTGATTTGCACTATCAAAGTGGGAAGTGCTTATATATGTTTGATAGAAGCCCGTTCCTGAACTCACTCGTGGCGGTTGTACGTCTTAACAAGTAGAAAGTTTGCTTATTTGAGTTGTGTGTGGCAAACGCCAATCTGGGATCGTTTAGTTAACCTTGTTGTAAAACGTTAGGTCTATAGCCCGTCGGTGTGAGCAGTACTGATTGACGATTGTGAGATTTGGCTTTCCCAAGATAAGGACGTCAGACTCTCTGCTTTCGATCACCGACATTTGCACGGGATTGCTTAGACTCAGCGGAAATACCATGTACGCAACTGAGATGAAGTGGTATACATTTCGGAGTGATGGAGGTCGTCATTCATTATCTGAGGTCATGCTGGACCAGTGTCATCCCAGGATCTCGCACACTGCTTACTATTTCTCAGCCCTGCGACTAGTTGGAAGAAGCGGTGAGGTTGCTAACTTATGTTGTGGCATAATGAGGATATAGGTCGTTGTATTGGGTTAGCAACTATGCTTGCTTCAAGACTCGATGAATGGGGTTCGATACATCATACAGCTCAGTGGCTTGAGGCGATAGCAGACATGGTTCAGAAACGAAACAAGTGGCGATTATACTGCAGTTCACCTTACTCTGTTCTCGAGAATTAAAATGAAAGTAGTTAGTGCTGCCTTTTATGTTTGAGACTGCTTCTCCAACAACCCACTTACGTTTTGTGTCCATTCTCTTTCCCTTTGTGTCTTCTTAATGTCGCTATCACTTCGTATAGCGCATCTCTTGGTGCTCATGTTGTACCATGTTTGTGTACTAAATAAGTAAATAAAATAATAGATTGAAGCAAACTGTCATTAGGATGAACCTGAACTGGATATCAATATTTACGTCTGATGAAGTGCGTAGCATAGATTCTTTCCAACTAACTGGTGACTCTGCAGTCAAACAATACACGTGCTTCAATCTGAATCAGACTTAGAGTGCTATCAGTGTCTCACTTAGGTTGCTAGAACTACTCTCGGTGCATTCCACACACCTCACGAACAACCAGTGTTAATAGCTTATTATTGCAATTTTCTATTTGGAGAATCTTGTTAGCTATTATCGTTCACATGCTAAACTCTTAGTAAGTTTAGATAGTTACTGACTTCCTATCATGTACGATGTTTTCTTTTCCTTCAAGTAACTACTAATACTCATAGTCATCACGTACACCGACAGTTAATTTGTAATTCACATACTTTCTCTACCCATCTTGGATGCGGTTGAATAGAACGAATTTTTGTGCAATGAGTAGCCTGATCTAGGATGACAATGGTTTACGGCTTGTACAATCATTTAGTTGAGGACTACTAACTTTCTATATCAGAATATATTTGACGAAAAGCGACATCATAGAGTCCTGCTGACGTTTCAATTAGTATGCCACCAACGTTTTTAACTGCATTTCTGATGTTCTGATCCTCACGCACACGTCCTGGCTGACTGATGATGATCAATACCCAATTAGGTTTCCTGAACGAAAGCTGGTACACTCACTCAATTCCGATAGTGGCCAATAACAACATACTTCTCGTGTCTGCCGTTGGGTATACGTTGACTGACGAAGTTTTTCAGCAATATCTTAACTGAGGAGTATTGTATATATATTGTATATATATATATATATATATATATATATATATATATATATATATATATATATATATATATATATATATAATATTTTACCTCTATGGTCACACCAATTTCTGCAGTCACATCCCAGTTACAGTGATGAATGCCATGGATCTGTACTTCAAAAATTACTGCTTTAACTCTATAATGAAAGTCCTATTAGAGAAAAGATTCTCGTTTAGGTTCTTAAAGAGCTCTAAGACAACATCTGATAAAATTCGACCATGAAAACGCTCTATGCTTGGCAAGTGACGTAGTTGATGTAGTGCAACCTTTTGAAAGTTCTAAACAAATATCCAGTCTTTCTTGATACAAAAAGTTCCACCTATCGATCATATTTGTACTTTACGGTTGTTTTAAGCTCACACTTTCTCTAGTTATAAGTTTAACTCAGTAATCAACATGCAGGTTTGTGTATTAAACAAGAAACACCTATTTTGTGGGGGCTGGTGGTCTTACCCAAATGTACAAACTTAAGTATGCAAAGTGGCGTTCGAACAAGTAACCCACAGTTTGACAATCAACCGTTTAGACCAGTGAGAAACAGTTTCAGACATAAAAAGTGAGTCAGTTGACCACGTTGACCCCCCCCCCATCTCCCCAGCTAAAATTGACACTTGCATAAGCTTTAGATGACTAGTTACTGACAAGGACTACACTGTCATTCGCCAACTCAGTCGGTTTAAGGATCCAGAAAGATCTACATTACCAAGGTTCAAATATAAAACGTAGTGATTTACTTTGCTTTCCTTCACGGTTGAGGCGTTGTTGAAGAGTATGGATGACATGAAGTTATCTGCCTTTACTTACTAGTACTTTCAAAAACGTTGTATGATAAACCTAATAAATGAACATTATCATCGTAACGTACATGATTTTAAGGCAGGGAAAATGACCGGGAAGTGATGAACGTATATAGACCACGTGGATTAAAAATATTGGTTCAAATGGTTGAATGCAAAATAACTCAACGTGCTCACATTTTGTAATGATAGCCTAAGTCATGGAGAAAAGTGAGGGTTTGTTTAAGTGTGTAAGGCAGAAGAAAACTAGCGTTAAATGGTTTCGTATGGTTTAGCACAACTACATAATAGATGTACACAAAATTCTTATGCTACTTCAAATCATGAAGGCATTTTGCCTATCGAGTCTCGACTCATTCAAATTTTTCTTCTCTAGTTTGATTTTAAACTGTCTATCCTTTCCGTGCTGTTTTAAAGCATGACAAATTAACTTGAGTCGATAAAATATGTTCTAGTTTTTAGTGTTGAATCAGATGGACAAAAGATAAGCAAAAATAGCATACATCTAGCAAACAATTGCCTATTTCATAGTAATAATCCGTACACACCCAATCTATCTGTAAGTAGTATTTTGACATGGTTATTCTTGTTGATGTTTTTAACATGACAGAAAGGAGATTACACCAACACTTAAATTCCTTATTGTATATCTAGGTTAATAAGAGGTGCAAAGAAGTCTGTGTCTCTTAAAGACTTGTAAACTTAATATTTTCATCTAACAGATATACTACTAATCACCAGAGCATTTCAACGTTCTCATCCATAAAATGTGTCGGTAGATTGAAAAAATATCATTATATTAACAAACGTAAGTTGATAATTTTTTAGTGTTATTGCTTGCACTACACCGTCGTTGATTGGACCGAATTGATCAGTCTCTGTTGGCATATGGGCTCCTATGCGGATGCCTCAATATTGCCTGTCTTTTAACTATGTTTAGTAAGTTGATAATCTCTTAAAAAAATAGGGTCAAAAATAACTTGATATTTTCTACTGTAACAAGAATCTCGTAAATATAAGAACTTTAAACTCTGACTCATTATCCACTTTTGTTGCCAACCTAAAAAGGATGTTACATATAATGAATGCCGAAACTATTTAAGGATGAACCAGTAAAATTTCCGCCGAATAACAAAACAATACACCACGACCCATGATATTCTCTTAACGTCTATTAATGAGTGAAAGTAACTTAACACTTTCAACATAATACATGATCATGATTGATTCGATGAAATAGGTATAGTAAATAATTAAATGCAAAGACACTTACCACCTCTGTTAGGTAGGTTGGGATTTGACATTTGACCTTTAGTAAACACAGGCATAAACTGTTGTCCCATCATTTGAGGATGATGATGTAAATTCCTGTTCGGTGCTGAGTTTGAGTAAAGTGACTGGTTGGGAGGCATGGAAACTGGTTGATTGTGTTGCAAAGATGGAATATTACCAGGAAAGACGCCTTCGTGAGGTGGCATATTTTGGTTTGAATTACCCGATGACATCGGACCGGCACGAAACTGAAGAGAATTCATTTGTTGTTGTTGACTGGAATTTAACGACATATTGCCTCCTGAGCCCATGCCAAGTGGGGAGGACATAATACCGGCAGGGGAATCGTTTGCGCCAGGGAAAGGACCAGAATTTAAATGGGAAGCCATAACGCCTGGATTGCCTGCAGTGGCAGCTGCTACGGCATCATACTGAGTGTTTTCCAAACGAGTTATTAAACGTTCATCTTCATCACCGAAATCTCCACCCATAAGAGTCGGTTCACCAACTATCATTACATCCTTTCAATAGAGAAAAACGTATTAATTTCAAAGAAATGAATCAGCAATGTTGGCAATGAACATCCAGAACAAAAAACTAAGCACAGAAACGTGAACTGTAGTGGAATTTACCCACGTAGCTTTTTCGCCTTATGCCAATGCATATGCAATCTAATGTCACATTACTATGGCATACATTAAGTCTTGAGTTTTAAAACTTACCCCGGGCTGGGCTATATGATGAGATGGTAGTGGAATGGGGGACTGCTTGCGTTTCGAAGTTCGACCAGTGCTGTTTGCACCATCAGCTGTAGCTGAACTGCCTTTGCGCTTGCGTCGTTTGCTAGGTTGACGTGTAGCTTCTAAATTAAAGGGAATAGTGAGAAAGTAAGGGGAAATGTCGAATGTAATAGAAATTTATATTAAAATCAAACTAAATCATATCGATACCTTATTACATGGCATTTTTATATTTAAAACCAGATAACATGCATTAGGGTCATAAAGAAATACATCACATAAAATGAAATGAGTGTTTTGAAAATATGGAATATCGAAGGTCAGGCATGATAAACATTAAATTTGACTATGAATAGTGAGTCATGATCCAAACCAAAATTCACCCATCCCCGCAATTCTCACAATGTAGTATTGATAACAGGTGAATAGAACAATAACAGGTATAACTCAAAAACAACTCTTCACTTCAAGGTGTCATTTCATAAAACAATTGTTTACTTGGCGCCTGTGAGAAATCAAACTAATATTGCTTGGCATAAAAGCTTATGGAACGGTATATTCATAACGTGGCGTGGGTCGCGGAACTTGCAGATAATTGGAAATTTAGATGTGAATGATGAGTAGTGGCCAGCAGTGGAATTATTTAGGACGCTTGTTTCGTCCTGTTAGGGACGAGTTAGTTGGATGTGCACGCGTCCCAGCGAGCGATTTTGTTCCCACTAGAACCGGAACCCGAGACAGACTGCTTCCAACGCCAGAGGGTCATCCACCAGGCCCCCGTGTCACGAAAGCCACTTCTTGTGCAACGGGTATAGTTTATATGATGTTTATACGACGGGATAAAACAAGTCCCAGGTTCGAGTCTTTGTGGGAGCATCGCTCACTAGGAGGCAGGTTACATTAGGCTGACAAGTCCCAAATAGGACGAAACACACGTTCCGCATTCCACTGTCGGTCACCATCCATCATTAATATCAAAAATTCAAAGTACGGGCAATATCGTGGCATCCGCAGCGGAGCCAACAGAGACTGATCAATTCGGTCCAATCAACGACGGGACAATACAAGCAAAATCATATAATTGGCAAAATTGTTTGTTAATCCATGGTGTAAAGGTCAGTACGAGTTAGTTGATCAGATTTATCTGACCTAGTCAATTTGATGCCGGGTTGAATTGACTAATGTAGCGCCTCGAGAACCCGATCTCAAACGAGTAAATCAACCACTGAGTTTAGATTATAATTCTGGTTAGTGAAGAATCCAAAGCGCCACAAGCACTCCCCTATCACCGAGAGACCACAACCAGTAATATAATAATAACAATAACAATAATAATGATAATAATAGTGATTGAGTAGCTCTGAACGAACAAACGGTTGATATAGCAGTTGGTTGGTTCGAAACAAGTTTTACCCGCTATCATGTACTTTCGCAACTGTTTAAGTATTTCCATAAGTTTTAAAAAAATGGGGAAGTTTAGTGGTAAAGCAAGACGATGAATACAAACGGTCATGTATTCCAGATCCACTTGAGATATTTGCGTAGACGACTTCTAATATTTTAATGAGATTCTTAGAGATCCTCTCTAAACGATAATTTCACAACCTTCTCTGTTAAGTTGAACGGAACCTAAATATCAAGTAAAAACAACATCTGATCTGCAGTAACGAGCGGAAAGTTAACATATGGTTACCGAAATAACAATTTGTTTGTTCTTTTCAAGTCATTTTCTCGTGTGTCTTTTATAAGACAACGGAGGTTTTCAATACGAGGTTAGACATTTACCCTCCGATGACTGTGACATACATTATATAGGTTTTTTTTCAAAATAACAACCATGATACCGTTATTCATGCATAATGGTGCAATCTTAGTTCACAAGTACCAGGATATCATCGTTGCCTTGAATAAAAAGGTTGTACTCTGCACAAAACTGAAGCCGGCCGATATCGTTTGACACAAGACTAGCCAAAGTTAGTTTAGGATCTTTTAACTGAGACACTATTATTACGATACAAACCACCAAATAACATCGAGTGCTTCACTCGGATCAGTAAATGAAGACAGAAGACGATAAAAATCAACAAATTCATTAGACGCTAGGATGATCAACAAAAAGCCTGAAAATGTAATAAGTTTATGGCGGCTTTCATGGCATTTGTGAGACTGTCAAAGTAAAATATGTGACAACTTGGACCATTACGCAGTAATCCCTGGTCCTGTGTTGGTCTTGATGATAATGATGACTGGGAAATAAACTAAGGATACCCTGAAGGACGACATTAAAATAAAACAAGGCAAATGCATGATGAAAATGTCCATAATAGTATGAACAAGATAAAGAGCAAGCTTTTTCTTAGCGTATGCAAATTGGATTGAAAATAATCGAAAGGTTTTCGTCCTGATTAGGCGTAGGTATCGGGTAGAGTTCATCTTCAGGTATTAAGGGTTATGGTAGCTGATATCACTAGTTTTTCTGATTAACAAAAGCTACTTGTTATATGTGATATCCTTAAACCTACGACTCAGGTGACTTTTGAATACTATCACATGTCGAATTTTTTGTGTTTGGTAACACTACATTGTGTACGTTCAACGTATTAGAAGTGGAGATTGTCTTTCGGACGGTGAAGTTAAGTAGGAGGAAAATCAGCTTCAATAATTTGGGGTCACAAATGACATTCAAGAAAACCATGTTAGTGTTCCATAGATAAGAAATGATGGATTTTAGAATGTTTTCATTGTTTTATGTACAAGGGTGAACAAAAAGTAGTCAAAGGATGGGTGAGTGAGTATACCACTGAAATGTTTTGTGACTTTTCTTAACCGTTTATATCCTATTCATCTCTACCTTAAGTAGTATTTCGTGTGAGGATGATGAACTCTTTTTTTACATTACTCAATAATTTTTGTTGAGATAGAGCATTGCCCTTTTCCACCTTAAACACCACTGCCGAATAACATGTGACGGGTGATTAAAAAAGTTTAACAAACCTTGGGGCATCATTCGTTGCCATTTCTGAAACAGAGTGGTCTTGAGACAGTCACGTGGGGTGAGACTGTAGCCTTCTGACGGGACATTAATTCTTGCATCGGTTCCAGAATTACACATAAGCGAAAAAAATTGAGTGTTGTATTCGTCATACCATATCTAGTAATATTTTTGGACAGCTGATCCAAAAAGGCTGGATCCTAAGGAAAAACCATGAAAAATTAACACAAATTCCTAAACCGGAAAAACAATACAATCGTCAAATATTTTATACAGAACAATTAAATAAGATCCAGAGTTAATCACTAATTTACGGCTATTGATCCTACTACATTACATGCGAAGGAGTGAATACATCTGCTCCACTGCGACCGATTCTCAACTACGTCACCAAGAGTCCTCAACCACTGATTCCTATCGTCTTGTGGGTTTGGTTAGGGTCCACGAGAGAAAAGTAATCGCATAGATGTTTCCTTCTCCAGCGTCTTTCTAAAGCTTGAATATTTGCACTGACTGGTATCTTCAAAATGTTTATTCTCTAACACTACTTTATTTACTTTGATACTTTTTATATCCTGTTCTTCTTGTACTACTGTGAAGCATGGCAACTAGAGCTGATGGACATGTGTGCGAGGTTTTACGTTGATTTTATTAGCCAGTCAGTCACTACCTTACACTTTAGGAGTCTAATAGCATTTTTAGAACTTTGATTATTGTATATAAAACTGGATAAAATCGTTCTGAACACTTTTTGAAAACCAGTCCGTTTATTAAATTGGACATAGAGGAATTAATTTCGCACCATATGGAGATATGAAAAAATGGTAAAATTTGTCATCAGTTAACAATTAACACACCATTATTAAACTGGTGGTTTGCAAGGACCAATTGATATCAAGGAAGTATCCGTCGTGAACTGATATCACTTGAAGAACCACTGAACAGTCATTTCTTCCTGATATGGGATTTTTCAGCAGTAGGCATACACGATACCAAGGGACCGTCAGGTCACGCAGTGTTACCAATCCCAAACCAGTAACTGAGCGGTCTACATTTATCTACTTATGTCAACTCACGATACAGTACAACCATCATTTAATGCCATCGTTAAGTACCTGTTTACACCTTACTTGGCTGACCCTACAGGTCACGGTTTTTCACTAGAAACGGAAAACGAAACGAACTCAACCATCTTGTGCCTATCTATGCAGTAGGCAGTGAGCCACACCTACTGTGTGAGGTCCAGTGATGCTGGTAGGTGAACTGGGGCTCCAATTCATGGTCTAATGGTTGATAGATCATCTTCCGGGACCACTGAGCTACAGCTAACTAGAACTTTGAGAAATCCATCTCGAAGCACTTCTTCCTGATTTCAGAATAACTTTGAAATGGTTGGAAGAAAAACAACGAATGAAGTGTGGTCGATTGTTAGTTTGGAAATACAGCCAACTTTTGGACAACTACCTCTTGTGTAATATCCGGAAGTCGGCACTTTTTTAAGACAATATTTTTATCTATCCTAAGTGATGAAACCCAGTAAACGAATTATGCGCTTTCAGCGACCGGTTGGACACGTAACCATATCAAAGTAATGTAAACGGTCTTGAAACATCGACTTTAATGCGCTTGAGTGTGTATCTGCATTATCATCTAACATATATTTAAAATATGAATAACTGAAACATTCTCATTTCTGGCAGTGACATAAAATACAATTTTAGGTCTCCATGAATAATTACTCAAGTTAGCGTAAGTACTTACTTGAATCCCCAACATAGATCTCATTATCATTTCACGATGAGTTCGAATAAGAAAAATCCAAGATCGAATCCTCATCAAGTCATCAAAAGCAAAGTCGAGTGTTAGTCGACCTTCCACGACAACTGTGACAGGAATAGATCTGACCATAGTCATAGTCATCGTTGCAGATTCTGAATCCAGAGTCAAAATTGGATGATGAAAATATTCGTGGTTCAGCCTAAGGTTGTAGTATAGTTCCCCACAACCACTTTCAAAAATACTGCGGAAATAACGAGGAATAAGAGTTCTTCCAATTGCTAAGAAGGAAATAGAGTAGTACAAGAACTTACTGTAACTCTTTGGACCCTCTTCTGTAAGGAAAGCGAGAGTAAGAGTTGCATCGTCTTCGAAGAAGTCTGTAGCAAATGACTCCCACCACAAGCTATCACAGTCCTAAAAATAAGTTAGTGTCTTGGAAAACATGTACAGACATACGTCGCTCCGTTGTTGTAGACGCTTATTCATTTCAAATATTCGTAACTCCGGTTGACCTATAAGATGTGGCAGCCGATTCCTAAAACGGATAAGAAAACATAGAGTTGAAAAATCCAAATTTAACTGGATTTTTATGCTTAAGGTAGTTTTATATCAAGGTCACTCACTTAACATATGAACAGAAACGTAAAATACTTTCACGTGAAAACGAAATATACTATTCATCGACCGAAATCTTTCAGTTACAGATGTAGAGGATTATAGCCATAGGTGAATTTTAAAAATTCATACCTACTGCTTAAACGTTGAAACGGCAGCGAACACATGCAAAATTGTCAAGATATTATTTGGTAACTAACAGATAAATTGTGGATTGCCTTTTGCAAGAGCTAATGCAATTTAATGGTTTAGGCGGAATTAAGACGGGGTTGGCCGGAAAGTTGTGGTCTACAACAGTTTAAGCTTGCTCCACGAAAAACATTTGGTGAAGGAAATAATTAGACGAATTACAGAACCAATCAAATTCAAAAACGAAGGTAATTCCCATTCATCTTCATATGTCCTAAAGCATAGTTTCTCTGTAACGTGGATGAGATATAATTAGATCCAGTTCGTAAAATGTATGTTTCCCAAAAAAACCTATCACTGGTCACAGTTTTTCATAATTTGTAAAACAGTAGGTGCACTCAGGTTCCTCTGGCACACGGATTTGAAGTTCTGTCACATTTCTGCCTACATAACCAGACTGCAGACTTTGCATCAACACGAGGTTATGTTAATGACCACGATTCTTGAGCGAATGACCATTTATCATTGTCCGACTGCAAAAGTAGAGTAGAAAAAGGTTCGGACCTATAGCTTTATAGACTGATATGTAAGCATCAAGACTGAGTACTTTAGGTTGGTGGACTAGATAAATGACACAGTGGGTAACGGGTTTAAACTCTACTTTAAGGTTTGAATTGTCGGGTAGTTATCTGCCAACACGAGATAGGTGTAATTCCAGCGACAAAACCACACCGTTTCTAAGTTGCGTATATGAATCAATATCGCTGAGCAAACAGGATGGTGGTAAAAGTATTCGAACCCAGCGTTATCCACACAATGGGCTTATCTTTATGTAAGCCGGGACATTCACTTAGTACGTTATAGCACTAAGCCTTATAATGAAAGGTCGCTAAACGTAATGCTGTCGTTAACCGTAATAAAGTACATTTTGGGGGAATTCTTGACACTGCTTTTATTTTTAAATCGTAATCAGATACATACTTGATGCTGAAACTTTTCTATCAAGATTACTCCACACTCTAGGCGTCACAACGAGCAAGGTTGTCGGTGATTCATCTAGTTTCGTTTAGTTCTCTTTTATATATATTGTTCTACAAACAGAACTAATAGGTCCCTCCCACTTTAGGTTTCTTTGTTTGGCATAAAACATTTGTTCAATATGGTCAACTAGAAAGTCATTCATAAGTGATAAGTGTAACAACCTAAAAAAAGTAGTACGCTGTTCAAACTTTCGGATAAAAAAGAACTACAGAATACAAGGAAACCGAACCGAGGCAACGTATTTGCACGAAACTATCGATAGAAGTCGTTGGCACATACTCATAAATTGGGGGGAAAACAGCGTGAACCGTGATCTGATGCCAGTGAAATAAATTTTTCTAATCGTGGATTTTGTGATAAATTCAGAATGACTATGAAGATTTTCATATTAAAGTCTTGAGCCATATGTTTAGTGATGGCTTTCAAGATTACCCGGCATACCACACCGAATGTCGAGTAGGTTATAATTTGTGACTAGACGGTTGACATCTTAATGCCTAGATAACTAAGCCACAACTACAAAAGTAAATAGCTGGAAAAAACATGTCTCCATCTTAAAGATAATACGATTATCTGATAAACCCAAAGCCCATATACTCAAATTCGAACTCACTCACTCTGCACTGTGCAGACCGGTAACCGCATGTTAGCTTCTGCCAATGTACTGGAAACTTGGAATTCTAATGAGTACCGAACAATGCATTTCTTAGGAAACAGCTACCAATAATACTGGTGACCAGTGAGTCCTAAACGATATAAGATTTACACTCCGAAAGCTAAAGAGATAACTAACGAATGAATACGTTTACCACCTGCGAAAAGACATACTAAAGCCTATTATATTGCGTATATGTTGACCGTATACACTCTGATGCTGCTGGACTTGTGCCTAAGGAGCTTGAAGAGTCGATTTTCAACTACTTGGCCACATATTTAAACACCCCTCTGCTAATCGAAGTTTGAGCAGCCAGATAGTACTGCAAGTCATTAGGTGTGGCTCGTTGCTTACTGTATGAAAGTGCCATAGGTCGCCCATGCTGCCTGAAGGTACAAATGGGAGAGCGAAGTACTTTTACATGCACTAAAAAGCTTAAAGCTCAGCCCGAAACTAACATGCATAGTACTAATGCTATAAACTAACCAGGACATGACGAGAACACAAACTCAAACATAAAAGAAAGGAAAATACTCGAGTTTTGAAGCCATATCTCGAAATCTTGCTATACTGTGGAATAACTCATCCAACCAGGCGGTACTATATCTACTTAATGACCATGCTCTTGGCTGCGTAATACTTCTAGCGCATAGGAAGCCATTTCATCTGGTTATACGGACTAAAGGGAACAAAGTCAAAACAATAGTATGCTATTACTTGGAACATCTAATAGTGACACAAGCAATCAACTAATTTTTAGCTCCAAGTAAAACAATAACCTGTTCTGTATAACAATAAGCTTTCCGTGGAATCATATAATGTTATTCAAGAACAATAATGAATTAGACGCGACTTACAGTGATAAGAGTGGGTGGTGGTGGAACTGGCTGGGATGACCATGTGAAATCATATTCGGGATAGGATGAGGGGAGCCAGGATTCATGCCAAGAGCAGAAAAATAGTGTCCAGGTAGCGGACCGGAACCAGAAACAGGTGTAGAAGGTTCACGGTCATGTGGGCCAGACATTGGAATACTATGGCCTGAGTGGGTCATTCCTGGCAAATGTTTTAAAGAGTAAATTTTTCATACCAGGTGGAAGGGGATTCGGTAAGTTTAGAGAACTAGAAATCACTGGACCTGAGTGCACTGGTTGCATGTGGAGTGGAGGTTGAGGCCCACCACCCGCAATAGCTGAAGGCATTCTATTCATGGGCGATTTGGAGGGAAAACCGCCCGCATGGGGAAAATTCACAAACTTTTCCGAGTATTCCGAGATGTTAGGATCCAGTGTTGCTAAATAAGAAATCGAATTTACAGACTTCAATGAGTCAACCAAAATGGAGTCGTCCTACAGTAGAAAATCAGAGAAGTTAAACAAAATTAGTGAATATACACCGTTTCACTATATAGAGCATGTAAAACCTTGTTTTTATGAAAAATCTCATAGAGGTTATTAGGATAGATAGTTTAACTGTAACCATTGCATCCTTCAGTCAACTGGGAGGGTTCAGACGTGACTGTCGCTTGAAAACTCTCGCAGGTCACTTACGTTTCCGATAATTAGTCAATTTCGGCTTGTGATCTGTCAGGTGAACAGCATATTTTAGCGACAGTAGCAAAGTTAACTTCCGTCTTTTCCTATTTATGATGTCTAATGCCTGTTTCCAATGTCCGATAACTTTCAAATGAGTGTAGCGAACTATTATTCTTCGAGCTTTTTTATCTTGTTCTGAAACTTGGGTTCATCCAAGTGGTTTTTTCTTCGGTGGCTGCGAAGCTCCCTTCTTTTTTCCTGCTTCTAGGTAATGGGATTGTAACTGGCTGTCCGCCATTTTTATTTGTAGTTTGTAGACTGGGTAGAGAAAGAAGCTACTGAGCTGCCAGAAAAATCGATGGCCTTTAAGCAGTTCTTATTTCTAGGGATCTTGCAGTTATGCAGGTTAGTGTGAAATGAGGAGTGAGCTGAAGGTCAGAGACCCCTGAACAGTCTGGCGGGAAACTTTGCGTCCCAATGAGTTTACCGGACAATTTTTCGAACTGATCCAATATAGAGGCCACCGTTATTTCTTTTAGTAGTATATTCCACGCGGTACATCCTGTAAGTGAAGAGATGCTAATTCTAGCCTTCATGTCAGCCCCTGGGTGTCCTGCACAAGGCGGGTTATCATATAACTGTCTATCGTGGGTAGGTAACAACTGTCTGGTGGGATACTTTGTCAGGTAAGCTATATTATGCGCTGTTATCAAGGCACCTAGCCTCCTAATGTCGTCAGTGGTGAACGAATTAAGCTACCGGAGACCCCTAAAGGAGGGTTTACTTCTTAATCTTACTACATATTTCATTGCCCCCCCTTGCACTTTCTTTAAAGGTTTCTATTCTCTCTTAAGTAATGGAGAGACTATCGTGTACAGAATTCCAAGATGCGGTCTGACAAATATTTCGAAGATCGCCGTGAAGAGTTTTTAAGTGAGAAACTCAATCTGCTTCTGGGGGTAGTATGTACGCCTCCTTGGGCCCAAGCCTGACCCAGTCCTTGCTGTCCAAGATCCCACTTTTGGAAGGTAATCTTGGAGCTATTTCAGGTCGTCACCCCACCTATTACCCACCATATCTAGACCTCACTTGAGAATAGTAGGGAGGAGGGGAAGAAGCTCAAGGGCAGGTCGTTTATGGGGAGAGGAAACAGAATTGAACCGAGAATGGCTGCATAGGACACTCCAGATGGGAAGACTCTACATGGGGATCACGGTTCCTGGCCTTAGTATATCATTCCCCAGCCTCCACGTTAGTCCTGATGCAATACGTTGGCAGTTCGCCGGTTGTTGCTTCCTGAATTTCCATGGGCAAAGTGTTGCACGAGACAATAGCGAAAGCTCTCACTAGATTAAGGGGAGTGATATGAAGTGTTTGGTCATTGTCCCACCTAACTGTCTAGCCGTCTCAGGCAGTAAGTTGGTGGCAGGAGGCCTGTCATGTCCTAAGCAGCATTTGAAACAGTGAACAGCTTTACTCCTCTTGAGGACTTCCTAAACGCCCCAACTATCAAGTTTTCGTTCGTTTAAAGGATGTGAGCAGTGGAGATGTGTCTGCAGTTGGTTGCATCTTTTCTGTCATGTTATATCAATATTGGTGCCAAGATAGGTTACTTTTGCTCTTTTGGTAGGCTTGGCACCACGATACAGTTCTTTTACATCGTGGGTCCCAACTCACTACAACCTAGAGATTACCCGTTTGGGCTTTGACAGTTTTCTGAAGACTTTGCCGAGTAAGATCTCAACATTGTGCAGTTTTTCCCTACAGTCATCGACGACCGAAACCTTTGTGATCAAGGAGGGTTACAGACGCCTCTGGTTGATGTTGGGGCGTGAGTCAATCCGCAAGCATAACATTCCGGTCATGTTCTCACTTCTCAAGGATTGCCCATATGGACCCACTTTGAGGCACGCACCCTACTTTGTTAATTACCTCGATGACATACAGAGGTGAACACTTCTTGGGTTACTTTCCAACCACTTCACTAACTCATTTTGATATCGGTGTCTACTGTCTTGGGGCCAGTTATTGCCTGGATTATGTAGTTTTACACAGGCAAGTAAATCTTATTGTTTATGGGATAGTCACCTGTTTTCACCAGGATCATTCGGACCACTTTGATAACTTATGAGATTTTCACGAAGGCGGGGAGCGTTACTTCTGATACATTAGTGTTCATGGCATCTCGGATTACACCTTTGGTCACCGATGAATGTTAACTTACGAGGAGAGATCTTCAGTCTTTGGGTCATAGTATTCTGAACAGGATACCCCTCATTTCATTATGGTTTGCCATACTATAGAGAATGGATGCTTACAACTATCAACTGGCAGTTTCTCTTCAGTTTATGTAAAAAATGTTATTACACCATGATCAGTTTGACCTAGTGAGGGATGAAAACATGTGCTTTCTACCGAGGGAGCTGTCATTTGTCAACCTTTGCCGTACTATTATGCTCGTCTATACGGTTTTCATAGGGTGATGTCCATGGCCTTCTCAAACAGTCTTCCTGGTTGGAAGGTCACTTTATCTGGGCTTAAATGAGCCAGTGACGAATCCACCCCCACCAAAAAGTCAAGCAGAGGGTTCGGTGAAATGTTGTGTCATTGCGTCATAGGTTGCCATAGTTGCCGTCCATAACCAAACTCGCTTTGCGTTCCGAATTTTCTGTTAGAAGCTCAGCATGTGAAGTTTTTCAGACTTAGGAACTGTCCTGGTGCGAATATGACAGACGCAGAGGCCAATCACTAATTATTCGAACTTGCTATGTACCCATGAATACGGGACCAAGGAAGAACACAGTGGCGTGGTCAGATGGAATGGTATATTTGGGCGGTTGTGCCAAAATACCGATGCGTTCCAACTAGCTGGCTAGGGAGTCGAATACGAGCAGTGCCACGTAACACGACAGCATGCCAAATGGCGAGGATGCTTGACCGGGTTCGTTCAGCTTAGCGAGTCCAGTTAAACTATCGAGGTCAGCATCAATGTCGAATCTGGTCAAACCCTAGGCTATTGATTTTGGGGAAGTGTATGACGCTACATATCACTCCCCCCTAGTGGGCTCATGAGGACCCTAAGACGATGCCATTTGGAGGTAAGAATCCAGTGGTCCTCAGTTTACTTTGACGTTCCTTCTAGTGCTCGTTGCACCTGGAATATAAATAAAAGTCTTTAATTCCATGAAAACGTTTCTTAAAAATGGAAATTATTTTCATATAAATGTATCGGAAATAAAGTTCACGCTTATTTTCACGGTTTTAAAAAGTTTCAGAGCATGGTAATAAAAACTTGATATAAAAAGGCAAAATGTGCGAGGAGTTTCTCATTGCCGGTAAATAAGAAAAACAGTGCCAGGAAAAAAATTTAGAATTGAAAAAATATTGTTGTCACATCTCATTTCACATCACTAAGTTGAGTACGACTTTAAATACTCCGGGAACCTGACGGTCCTACCTGACTGTGTTTTCTGTTGCGCCGATGGTTGTTGTGACTGTGCATTAGCAGGCACGTCGTCAAGAGTTTCGATAATTGAGCTATCCGTCGGTCGGCTATAAGGAGCTGAAACATCACTTATAATGGGGTTGCCTTCCAAATAAGCTGCCTTGAAACGGTCGATACTAACAGCATCTTCACGTCCGTCTCGCTCAATTACACAAAATTTCTCTTGTTGTTTGACTACTTTGAATAGCCCATCATAGGGTGGTTCAAGTGGTCGATGGACGGCATCGTGGCAAATAAACACGTGGGATGTCTCTTGTAAGCTGGGGCGAACGAAAACATCAGTCGTTTGACGTCTGAATGGAGGAGGCCTAACTGAATGCATTGTGTTTGTAAGCCTAGTCGCGTACGACGCCCTGTCGGAAACATGTTTGAAAATTGAAGAGGAAACAAACTCACCTGGTAGGCGAAGAGAGGTCCCTCAGACGATTTCTGCAGGGGTGCATCCAGCATCAGCTTTCAACGCGCTACGAATACCTAGTAGGACTACAGACAGAGCCTCGGTCAACTGAGATATGTTTGCAGCTGAAAGAGAAGCTTTCAACTGTCGACGGAAACGCTTCACCATGCCAGTTGCTTGTGGATGGTAGGCTGTCGTTCGGAACCGAGTGCAACCTAAAAGTGCAGTTAAAGCGTGAAATAATCCACGCTCGAATTGGCACCCACGGCCGGTCGTGACGTAAGATGGACATCCGAATTTCGTGACCCATCTTTCTATGGAAACACGAGCAACTGTTTCAGCAGTAACATCCCTGATAGGTCCTGCTTCTGGTCATCGTGTGAAATTGTCCACGCAAGTGAAAAGGTAAGGACATCCATTAGACTCTGGTAGAGGTCCTACAATATCCATGTGGACGTGGTCGAAACTCATGTCTGGGGGTAGAAAAGAGCCTAAAGGGCTTTTCGCGTGTCTCGTGACTTTGCACTTCTGACAAGCTAAACACGGCTGAGCCCATACCTCAACGTCTTTGTTCATTCCGGGCCAGCAGAAACGTTGTGCAATAAGCCTAATGGTGGCTCGTGCACCTGGATGGGACAGTTTGTGCAAAGTGCTGAAGACGTTGCGTCGATATCCCTTCGGAACTATTGGGCGTGGTTGACTAGCAGAGACGTCGCATAAAACTGTATCCTTGCCTGACCCTACTGGATACGGTTGTAGCTTGAG